GATTTTGCTTATTTTCTGCATAAAATTCTTTTTCCATTGCATTGATTGTCGTGAATGTATGCCAATTAGGTATGTGTTTGGCTATAAACAACAGAAACGCCAACTGTGGTTTAAAGAAACAGGAGTTCATTTTATTCACCTAATAAACAGGGCAAAGGTAAGCAGCTGCCAGTGTTAATTTAGCAGCTCAAGGATAGCAGGGGATGTGTCTCTCTTGCCTCTTGTGGCCTTATCTTGAAAAGATACCTAGGGCAGCTGTAGCCCCATGTCAGCATTCTGACAAGATGGAGAAGGAAAAGGGTAAGTTGTGATGCCTGTATCAGGAATGCAAAAAGCTGCTCAGGAGACTTGGCCCACTTCTTAGCCAGAACTGTGTCACACCACTACCTCCAAGTGGAAAGGGAGGTGCAAGGGCCAAGGGGTAAGAATGAGATTTAGGTCAGCCCTACAGTAGCATCTCCCCATCTGGCTTGTAGTAAAGCTATTGCTTTGTGTTTATTGAGCTTGTACCAGCTGCCTTACTCATTTTAGTGATGTTTCAGTTGATTCCCTTGCATTGTCTATGTAGAAGACAGTATGTCTACAAATAATGAGTCTGTCTCTTCCTTTCAAGTACATGGACCTCATTTTAAAAAAAAATATTATTCTTTTGCACTAGATAGTATCCTATTTTTGTCTTATGGACGCAATAGCCTCTTACGTCTTTTTGAACATATTAATCAGAATTTATTTTTTCAGTTTTCTTTCATTCCTTTATTTTTAATCTTCAGGGAAGCTTTTCATTACTGTTCCTGTTGTTAAATGCTGTTAGTTTTTCTTCAATATCTGGCAAACCTCAGTTGTTTATTTAACATAAACACTGATGGAAAGACTAGGTTTATTAATATAGGTCTTTTTGGAAGCAGTATTCACCTGTCCCCTTGTCTAGGAGGGTTGACTGAGGCTGATGGGCTTCATTTGAGGTGCATGGGCTTGGAGCAGTAGGCTATGGGCGGGTCCCTTCAACCGCTCCCCACTGTTGAAATCAGGAGGGCTTAATTAATTCTGAGGCTGAGGAAGGTAGGGCCTCCTGGACAGAGGTACTTCCCCATTACACTCTCCCCTTCCCTGTCTGTTCTAAAGGTCCCAAGTTCCTTACATTCTACTTTCCCCCTTTTTCAGGGCCTTACACCCGCATGGGGAGCCCACAGGCAGGATATTTATTGCGAGAGAGAGATTCTGAGGATTTAGCCAGGGGTTAAAAGCAGCCCCTGCCAGCAGCTCTGCACAAACAAGGGAAAAGGGGACACCTGCCAGCCTTTGCATTTCCAAGGGCAGTTCTTCAGTGAACCCCGGAGTCCCCTCCAGCACCTATTCTGAGAGTGAGAATTCTCTGAATAGATCCGTCTCTCCTGCTCCTGGTATGGGCTGTGTTTCTTTCCCTCTGATCTTGTTCTCAGTCAATACCATCCCACCTCACCTTTTTATCTACTAGGCTTCTTTAGAATTTTTTGTCTGCTGATGAAAATTTCTTTTATTTTTCAATATGCTCATGAATCTATTCTGTTAAAATTTCTGGGGTTTTTTTTCCAGATATTTCAGATATTTCTGGGGTTTCATCCAGGAGTAGGTACATGTGTTTGGCCTGTTATCTTGATCTGCACTTCCCTGGAGGGATACTTATGAGGTCATTTACATGTGGCCAATTGGTTGTCCTTCACAAATCAAAGAAAATACAGCTGTGTGGTGCTTAATTGTTAAGTAACCATTCTATTCTCTGGAAATCTCTCAGTAATAAATATACTGCTAGTTTGATGTATAATGATGCATTTTTAGGCTTTATTTTGAAGAAATAAATGTTGATACCTTAAAGTACTGATTCAATATCTCTCAAAGTGTTCCCCCTGCCAAATTGGTGTTTGTCTGCATTCTGTCTCATGAGATGCTTGTCTCATCTTTCTTTAAAGAAAAAAAAAATTTTAACTAGGCATTTTATGACAATACAAATTTTCCTAAATGTGATATTTAAATAATATTGATACCTAGAAATCATAAGCAGGAGCTCAATTTACTGTATTTTGTTGTTCTTTTTTTCCCTTTTCTTTGGGATGGGGAAAGAGGGTAGGAGAATCCTGTTTTCTTCAGAAATGAAACTGTACACTAAAGGAAATTATATTACTATGTCAATATATTTTATTTTCTATTTAACTTACCTCTAGGGGTGACTGCCTGTGTAGCAGGAAAGCCCTGGAAGCTCATCACATGACTAGATTGATACATTTCACTGCAAAATGAAGACTAACCTCCTTGCTGACTATAGAACGTAGGACGAAGTTATTATCATCATCATAAGCTCATGGCAGAATCTGTAGAGTTATATTTGAAAATGAAAAGGGATGAAACAGGCTTGTTTTGATGGTGGGCTCTGGTTCCTTATCCTTAAAAACTTGATTCTCATCATATTAAAATGCTACAAAAATTGTGCGATATGAAACAAGCATCCAAAGATTCTGAACAAAATGCCATGCCCTGAAATTAGTAAAGTTAAATGGCATCTATAATTCAAAGCTTTTCTAACATAATACTGCTGAAGATTAAGTAAATGAGAACGTCTTCTTAATTCTTTCTACTTATTTTACTTATATACTTATTTTACTTGGAAGCTACAGTAGTATTACAACCTATGATGCAGATGAGGCTGAGGAAATAACCATGTGAGAAATTATTGAATAGCTCAGTAAAATATACTTGAAAATAATAGCAAGTATCCCTTAGCTTTTCGTTCCATTAGAATAATATTTCTAGCACTTTCCTCAGAAGAAGAGAATTTAATAACATACATGGATATAACTCAGTCCAATTTGGCCGGGTTTGTAAGTTAATAGAATTTGGAGGGAGAATAAATTGGACTCTGCTAAAATGGGGTTCAAGAGGAAACAATAATTTCATGTATGACTTTTCACCCTGTTTAGTCTTTGATTATGGATTCCACATTTATTACCGAGTAGTCAGTCACTATACCTCGAACTGGGCATCCCAGTGACCAAGACAGTAAGTGTGTATGAGTCTGGACAAACACCCCTGCAGGGTCAGAAATGCTGTCAGAATTTCCTAAAAAAAAAAAAATCTGAATGTTTGTCTTTATTCTAATTTAAATCACATGGTAATTTGCTAAGGCTTTAAAAATGCAATTTAATCCTGTTCAGTTTCCAAAGAGGGGTGAACATACAATGAAATGAATTAACTAGGCCAATCATAATCAAACACTCCAGAAAGCCAGGCAGACCCACCATATGCCAAGGGTTTTGCAAACAGATCTCATCCTGCCTGGGAAAACTTGACAGTTGTGTGTGTGTGTGTGTGTGTGTGTGTGTGTGTGTGTGTGTGTGTGTGTGTAAGAACTGAGGGTGGTAAGATATCCCTTAAGGAAGGAGAATTACTCCTTTCAGGAAATCTGTTCATATGACTTTCAAAAAAGCGCCACCAAAGTTGTCATTGTATTTTGTGAGTAGCTAAATTACGCTAGTAGCTAAGGACAAAATTTGAAGCCACTGTGAAGACAGCCTCTTCTCATCTCATACCTTGGCTAAAGGTGACCCTCTTATTCTCTCTGAGGATAATTTGTTCATCTAATTAGCATTGAATCTGGAGCAATCACTGAGTATTTTCTAAACTCAAGATAAGAAATTCTGCTTTGAAGGGGCAGCAGTACAGCATTAAGAACAGAGGGTCCAGAGTAAGACAATCTAGCCCTATAAGCTGGCTTCGCTACTGATTACATATGTAACTTTGAGCTTAAGTAAAGTTCTGAGTGACCCAACCTCATGATCTTTAGTTTTTCTCATCTGTAAAATAAGAATAATAACCTCATGTTGCTGATGTTAGGATGAAGTGAGATAATATAAGCAAAGTGCTGAGCACAGTGCATGTCACATTGTAAATGCTCACTAAACATGAACAATTATTATTAATATTATTATAATGAAAGCAGTCAAAATACTAAAACTTTTCTTCAAGCAACAAATACGTATTGTACATTTTCTGTCAAACCTTGCTGAGTACTAGGAAATAAGAATCTGCACCCCTGTTGACTACAGGTGGCCATTTCTGCTCCTTGACCTTACTTTCAAGACAAACTTTACAGTGTATCTCTCAAACAGATCAACCCATTGCCATGTTTAAAAAGATTCCAAGACTAATATATTTTAATGATGCTTAATGAATAACTACATCAGCAACACATAAATTCAATTACATTTCAACTGACTTCATCTCAAATAAAATATGGGTAGTAGGGTTGCAGTCAGGATTGTATTGGGTTGTCAGAAAAGTCATGACGTATTTTTTCTGTTTTTCGTTGGAAAAATGTGTCATGACTTTCCTGACAACCCAATAGAAGAAAGAAGCCAGTGTTACAAGCTTCTGCAATGCTTCTCGTGGATTTCTCCCTGATACAGGCTGATTTTCATGTGTGTGGCCGCCACCTTTTAAGATAAGGTTTTCCTTCAGTATGAGCATGGAATCCCCTTGACAGTTACATTTGCTGGTATCCCTGGAGCAGCAGGAGGAAGGTCACACCAGGCTGGGGTGAGAGCCCCGTCACACTCTGTGTCCCCTAGGTGATGCACTCTGATGCCCACCTTCCTGCAGAATGCACTTTGGAGCAGGGTTGACTGTGGGCCAGGGACTTGTCCGTCTAGGCTCCCATCAATCTCTGAAGATGGGAGGGCAATCCTTCACAAATATGGGAATGGAGGCTGCTCTGAGGCTGGCAAATAATAAACAATGAGGTTTTTTTTTTCTGGATTCCTCCAGCCCTCCTCTCTGTAGTCCTCAGCAATAACTCAGCCCTTGTCTTCCTCTCTGAAGGATTTAAATGGAATGACCTTAATTCTTGCTTTGTTTGCACTCTATCTTTTAAGGAGCTGCAATGAAGACCAAGACAAACAGTAGATTAACAGTGGTACCTTTTATAAAGCTGATTAGTTCCTAAAATATGCTGAAAGGAAACAAAACCCCCCAAAAAAAAGAAAAAAGAAAGAAAGAAAGAAAAAGAAAAAGTGGAATGGGGCTGAGACAGAAGCCTTTGTCGGTGAGTTGAAACAGCTCCATTCCTTTCAGTAGTCACAGATATTGACCCTCCAGTGAAATGCTTCCTTTGTGTGTGAAGGCTTTGCAGGATAGCATTTATAGTATTAAGCAGGTGCCTGGTAAGTGTTTCTCAGCAAATATTACTCACTGCCTAATTTTGGTTTAAGGGGAGCGTTGTACTAGGGATGAATTCAGAAAACATTTGCTGTGGCTCATCTGCTGCTCCTTGGAGCGGTGGCTATCAAGTGGCTGACAGTGTCACAATCAGAATTCCAAAGATGCAGTTCCATGTGGAGTCATTAAGAGGAGCGCAGCCTCCTAAAATCTCCTTCAGCTCCTCTGGATTTGAAGGAATTTATAGAGAAACTTCTGAGTCACCTCGGCTATATCCAAATGAAAGCCAAAGCATTATAGAGTGGCAGAGCTGCAAGTGTGTCTCTGGGGCG